AATTAGCAATAGAAGTATTTAAAAAAAAAAAAAATTGTTACCAAATATTTAAAAAATAAGCACTTACACCTAACATGTTTTTTATTGACCGCAATTTTTTAATTCTAACAGCAACCCCAAACGGGCTCTAAGAGCATCTTTAACAGTCTCTTAAGATATACTGCCACCTCACTAATGTGTACATTTTTACACAGCCGAGCATATTTCCTTTCTCGTCCATCTTTCTCATTTCATTAACTAATCAATCACTGTTTGATTGTTATCAGGATAATAAAACAACTGCTCACCTGAAAATAAATAATTTAATTTTTTTTATTTATAAATCTATTATAACACATCAAAATTACATAAGAAAATATACACAATAATTGGAGGTGGTCTAAGTGTATAGACTTCTTTCCAAAGTAAATTTACTCCATACCATCTTTTTCTTTTTCCATTTAAGCTTACCATTCTTTTTAACTTTTCTTTTCTTCCTATTGGCTAAAAAGGACGGTTTGCAATTTTATTTTATTTTATTTTTTATTTTTTTCTCAATCATTCACGGGTTACATTGTATTGTCATTATCTTTCATCTAATAATATGTCATGACTTTCAAGTTTTTCTAATTTTGATAATAATATTATGATTCCTTAATAAACTCTTTAATTTATGAGTGTTAAATGATCTTCAAATATTTAATAAAATTTACCATAAATTTACTAATTTGAGTTTAAATATAATTGATAGGCCTTTTTAATAGGGACATTAATTAAAGGGTTAAATGCAAAAAAAAAACCCCTAAACTATTGGGGTTTTGCAAGAAACCCCCTCAACTACAAAAAACCTCCCCTGAACTATCATTTTGTTACAATTTACCCCATCAGGTCACCGGAAAAGGCAAAAGACAGCTTTGCCTTTACTATAAAAGGACGCAGCTTCAAATATTGTCATCTTAACTTGATGACATGGCAAAGAAAATATTAGGAACTAATGACATATTGAAAGCACACCAAAGAGATAAGGTCTTTTATCTCTTTTTACTCCATCATACTACCTACCCACTTATTTGTGCCATACACAAACACACAAGCCATTTGTGGAGGTCATGTATGTTCTTCGTTCTCTACCAACATAATCAAACCATCATGGGGACTGTGAAAGCCATATTCAGGGCGACTGTGAACAAAGGGCGGCAAAGTAATGGTGTTTTAATTATGGGGTAATTCATTATGGGAATCTCTTTTCTCCGATCACTTCGACACAGACTTCATGATATTATCACCGGTGAGGAACCTACCAGTTTCACCATAAGCTTCAAATTACAATTATAGCTATGTTCAGTCAATGTATGGACAAAGCCCCATGGGATGCTCTCCTCCTCGCACTTCATCACAACTACTGGGAGATTATAGCTCTATGCATCATGGTAGTAAAGATAAGGGAATGGGCCCACTCCAAGAGGTTTTCAACTCCCCAAGCAATCACTATATGCAGCTGGAGAGCCTTTCGTTGTAGGCTCTTGATAGTTTCTTGGATGATTATCAGAGAGATGAAGAAGAAAATGTCATACCATACTCGTCATTAACCACTTCGGATACTGTTGGAAACTGATCATCAGACCATTTTGATGATACACTGATACCCGTTAATCCAGAGTTGTTGAAGTGCTTGACCACGCAACCAAATTCTTCACGGTTTTGTAGATCGGGAAATAAAACATCGGTCTCTACTAGAAGCTCACAGTTGGAACAAGAGAGTGAAATTTATAAGATGAGTTCAAATATTGCAACTGCACCGTTATCACAGCAACTGCAACAAGAACGACAGTAGGAGAAGCAACAACAAACCCACTGCCACCACCCCACCTCCACCACCACCATCATTGTCGACGTCTAATTCACGTGGCTGGAACTTCATTGTTCCTACACCACCACACACCGTCAAACCCAATCACCCATTACCACCACATCACCTCCGCCACCACCTCGATCACTTCCGCCAAACCGCACCTCACCAACCACAATCTTACTTTATAGAAACTCGACCAATTCATAGAGAATCATCAAACCCAATCGAACCCACAAACCCGCCCCATTATCCCCACAATGGGTGCACCATGACGAGAGTGACACAAATTGTTCAAACATGAATCAAAATTAAGAAGGTATGTCCAGCACAAACCAATATTGAGAGGTATTGAGAGAAATGAGGCTGATCTGGGCCTTCAATTTTGTGATTGCAGACAATTAATACTATATTCTACAAATAATACATAAATAAAAATTTATGTTAGGTATACATATATATATACACACACACACACATATATACATATATTGAACCTTACATAACAAACACAAACAAAGAAGGAGATTGATACGACCAGAGCCCGGCGTTGAACAGAGTGCTAGAGAAAAATTTGTCGATCTTTCCAAAACACAGCCTAATAACCCTTTAAGGTCATAACTGACACGTGTCCCCTGCTGTTGTACGTTACTGATAATAGACAATGCCAAGGATGTTGGTGTGAAGGCAAAACAAAACGTCCCAGCGGAGTCAACCGATATCAGACAACACCTCCTGGGTTGCCATCGCTTTGCCGGCGTCGACACGAGGATCAGAGTCAAAGGCGGTGGTCACACCTCCCAGATCTACGCCATCCGTCAGTCCATTGCCAAAGCCCTCATCGCCTACTAACAGAAATACGTCGACGAGCAATCCAAGAAAGAGATCAAGGACATCCTCGTTCGCTACGATTGCGCCCTCCTGGTGGCCGACCCCAAACGCTGCGAGCCCAAGAAGTTCGGTGGTTGTGGTGCTCGTGCCAGGTTCCAGAAGCGTACCGTTGAGGGGTGTTTGGCTGTCTCATTATAAGTAATAGACTTGTTTGGTTGTAATCATAACAATTAAGGGTATTTTTGTCCTTTCATGTGTATAAGGGCACTATGGTCATTTATATTCAACTTATGCACTGTTACGGTCAAAACCTGCCGGAGACTTGCCGGATGGGGTCATCTGTAACAAAATTGCATAATTCAGGGGGTTAGTTGCATTTTTTGTAGTTCTGGGGGTTTGTTGCTGATATGGCAATAGTTCAGGAGTTTTTTTTGCATTTAATCCTTAATTAAATTTCATAAATAAATAATTATTTGTGTTGGATAATGTTAAAGAAAAAAAAAATTTACTAAGAATTCATCTCTGTTAAATTATATCGTAAAAAATAAAGTACCAGTACATTTTGATCTTTATGCGTAAGCGTAATATCGATACATGTTTAATTTCGTTACACCGCAGATTGAGTAACGTTGTCAAGTAGATTCGGTCAACGATATACTTGCTCGACATTCTCTTCATCTCTTGTAGTGGTGGGACCAATGTCAAATTTGAGTGCAAAAACTCTCACTGGCTCGGGCAATGAATTGGGCCATTGGCGTAACGTAAAGCAAGCACATCATCTATTTTGCTCCTTATTTGATTTTTGAATTCAACAAAACCATTTAATTTTTATTGGAACTAACATCCTAAAGTTTTTTTTTTTTTGTTTTTTAATATAAATTTTTATTAGACTTCGATCTCAACCATTTAAATTAAGAAGGAAAAAAAAAAAAAATCCACTTTTAAAAATATTTAAGAAAAAAAATTACATAAAAATCGAAGGACTCATTTGACAGATCCTATTACATAGGTTCACATCTATTTGGATTGGATTTTACAATAAGAAAGTGATGGTATCAAATCGAAACCTTAAATTTAGGATAGAAAAAAATTTAAAACAAGTTTTGTTCTAGACTTTTTCAAAATATAATCTAGGACATCTATTTGGTTTTCCAAACACAATATTGTTTTCTAAATTAAAATGGGGAGGCCATATTCGAATTCTACTTTTCTCCAATTGTACTCTATTTATCTTTTTTTTTTTAAAGGAATTGACAAGAAAATATTTCGATTCATTAATATACTATGATCTGTCTCTAAATAGATGCCAATGTTTAGAAATTAGAGTTTTTAAGGGAACATGCAATTAATGCATTGTCCCCTTTTAAAATTACCAAATTGTCCTTTTTAATTTAAATATATATAGTTACAAAGTTTGAAATTTTTAAAAAAGATAAAGGACAATGATGGAAATATAATGAAAAGATGCTTTGACTTTGACAATTAATTTGGGACATGTAAAATAAGAAAAATTGACTACTAATTAGGGACGAGGGAGTATTCCTTAATGGATAATGTTATAACTATCCTTTATACAACTCTTAACTTTTTATACTATTTTTTTCTTTTTTTTTTGTTTTCTCCATAAGTACTCTAAAAAAAATAATTTATTTCATACTAATAATTTTATTTTTGGCAATCAAAACAGATAATTTATTCCATAGCGATTTTTTTTTTTTTTTTTGGCACAATCGAAAGAAATATTTATTCAACAAAGACATTTTTGTTGTTCAACCATGTTAAAAGAGGTAATTTTTTTTTTTGGTAATTTTTTATGGATTATGTTCAAAAGAAGATATATATATATATATATATATATATATATATATATATATATATATATTGATCTTATCAAACGAGATAACTTATTTAATAGAGATTTTTTTATTTTTATTTTCTTGTCAAAAGAGGCCTACAAAAATTAAAAATTAGAGATAAGGAGATAAAATTTGAAAGAACATTTGTGTCATTTAAAAAATAATAAGTATTTATTTATAAAATTAAAGTTAAAATTATTATTTTATTTAAAATTATAATACAAATTATAAAAGAATGGAGTATGAATATCACTTCTTTTAAAATATTGCGTGTAATTTTCTATTTTGAATTTAATTTTTAGATTTCATCCGAGTAGAATAGAGCAAATCCAGCGTGTCAGCCATAAATATAAATACTGTAAACCGGTTGGAGACAGTGGGCACGTGGTAATGTCAATATCCGTGTAAATAAATGGAAATTGCGTCTCACTTACACAACCTTATTCTTATCCATTTCTAATAAATAAATAACAAAAATACAACAAAACACGTCAACACACCATCACCACTCTGCCTGCCCACCTTCCCCACCTGCATTCTCCCTCTGTCCTCTTCTACTTTCTCTTCTGCGGTTACAGAAAGTATAGAAGAATAGAACAGAAGTTCAACTTTTTTTTGTTTTTGTTTTTCTCTCTCTTTCTAACCAGAAAAGAAAAGAAGAGAAAATTCATTCATTCATTCATTCGTAGATCGTCGATCGAAGTGGTCAGTTTGTGATTGCGAAAGCAAGACAGAGGGAGGGAGTGACGATGGGCAATGCAAACGGGAGAGAAGAGGAGGCCAATGATTCAAGATCCAATGTAGATGAATCCTCCGTCTCCTCCTCCTCCGGTGCTTTCCCGTATGCGCCAAACTCGCATCCTCCGGGCCGCGTCGGTTCTTTCGATTCAATGGCGAATACACCTCCTCAGAGCCCTGGACGCTCTCGATCTCCCCTCATGTTCGCTCCTCAGGTTTCTTTCCACACCTCTTCCTCTCTCTCTATCTCTCTCTCTCTCTATATATATATACATGTTCATTAAACACATTGAATTTTAGTTTGCTGTCATTGTCTCACTATAATATGTGGATGATTGATTATCAAGTTGGGTTTCAATTATATTTATCTCCTGTTTGCAATTTATTAAATTACTCATGTTGTCCATTTATCTATGGTCATCATTTGTTTTATAGAAAGAACCCACTCATATTAAGCCAAAAAGAAAGAAAATGGTCAGAGAAACAAAAGATTATGGAAAAATTAAAATTGGGATTGAAATAACTCTTTTACCCTTCTCTCTCCATATCTAATAGAATTTTTTGTTGGTCAGTGATGCTACTTTGCATATTCGTTTTTAGGCATTCAGCATTTTGAGTTTTAGGGACACCCATCAAGTGGATGAAAATTTTAATCGTCCGTATGGGTGGGTTTGTTATCCTCCCAAAAGTGGGAGGAGATGGAAGGATAGGGCTACCAAGTTTAATGAAACCTCTCTATTACTGATTTTGCCTTTATCTTTATAAAAGAAAATGAAAATACAGGGCATTTTTTTATTCTCTTGAACTTTTTTTTTTGTATCCAGATTGTCACTTTGGGTTTAATGGTGTTCAAGGCAATCTTTATATTTGTCCTACCACTTCTTATCTATATATTTGTCTTTTAAATGTGAAAGGGCATAGTGTTATATTTATTAGAATAGTTTCCTTTTCTTTTTTTGGACAAACATGATTAAGTGCCAAAGTCCTTTCCCATTAATAATCAAACACAGTGAGAGGTTAACACTATCCTTTCCTTTCTTTTCTTTTTACTCACAATTAATGTTACCCTCTCTTTTCTTTTCCCTCCCATGCCACAAAACATAGCCTTAAGGAAGGAGATAGGGATACGAGATTCTTTCAGACTGACTAATGCTCATCGAAGTAGTACTCATATAGTGAGGCTTCGTATTGAGGGTGCTCGGTTGAGTAACGAGAGGGATATTAGTAGAGAGGTTGCCTCCTTTTACCAAGCACTGTATTCGAAGAAGTATAACGGGAGACCAATGTTGGACACTTGACTTTTTGTAAGACAACTATCAATGACACTTGAATTTTTCTAAATTAACTTTTTAAGCTAGCCACAGCGCATTCATAACAGCTTTTACTATTCCTTGACATCTTCAGATTCTCATACGGTAATAACTAGTTAATATGTTTTGACTAGACACTTTTCAAGACACTATTGACTGCATCAGATACACACTTTTCAAGACACTATTTACTGCATTTCTATATATGCTTTCTCTGATTTCAATCCAAGTGTTTGACTCAGTGCCGATTTGGCATTGCTATTGTGATAGTGAAAGCGCTTTTATGAGTAGAGTCATTACAAAATTGTTATCGGTAAAAAAAACATATTAGGCATTTGGTGATACGTAGAATTGGATCGAGAATGGTAAGATTCTACCAAACTAGTAGAAAAATAATTTAAACTAACTTCTTAAACAATAATATCTCTAAAATATAGTAAGAGCAATTCCAAACCACAAAAAATATATAAAAGTACTACTCCAAATATAGTTACATACATCTTGGGATAAATTCGTACATATATCTAAGAGAATGTAGCTCAAATGGTAGAGCTCTCATGACAACCATGCAACGTCAATTCAATTAAGAATTACGAGAGACAGGACTAACTTACAATATATGGTAGGTTTTAGGTCCAAGAGGAATTGACCAAGGTTCGTTAAAAAGTAAATCCAAAATAATAATAATAATAATTAACAAATAACTAACATTAATTGTATAAAAATTTGGGGATAGACGCCCCCGTTTTTGTCTATAAAAAATATCTTCATTGTATTAAAGGAATGAATGAACAAATATTTATTATATGAACATTCAATGCTGAACTAATAGTAAATAGTTTAATACAAGTAACAACTTACTAGATCAAAACTAAAGAAAATTAAAACCAAGAAATCAACAGAAGATAGAAACAGAACAAAAAGCCTCTAATCCCCTATATTCACTAAAAAATCACAATCAACCATGCATATCAAAACTCCAAAAATTCGAACTCCCAAAAAAGAAAAAGAAAAATAACACTGATTCTATGATTCTACCGATCCTACCAGCGATTTTATGTGCGCTTCAGATTGATTTGGGGTGTTGGAATTGTAGAATCGTGTGATTCTACGATCTAGACTCACGATTTTAGCAACCTTGGTTTGGTAATGATGCTTTTTAAAGCACTTTTATTACTACTTTTACTATATTACCTGATTTTAAAATTCCTTATATTTAAAGGCCTTTGAAGAATGCCTTTTAAAGGAAGAAATTTCGAAGAAAAAAAGTTGTTTGGTGGATTCAAGTCTTGAAATTCTTTCCGTAGTTTTAACTTTTAAGTTGACAATTTTATCCTTAATAACTACCCTCAAAATTTTCCAGAAAGGATACAAACCTGCCCGTAGTTGAATTGGCATATAACAAGAATAAAGAAAATGTAAAAGTGGGAAAATATAATTAAAGTGATGAAGCAAATATCACAGATGATAGAGTTTATGTTCATACTTCCATTGTTGTCGGGCTCATCAATTATTGAAGATGAATAAGATCTCTCCACTTTAAAAAATTTTTTTACTATCAAAATTCTTCTGGTCACCGGCAGAAACGTCTTTATGTGACTAAGGAAAACAATGAGATGCCATTACTAGCATCTGTGCCCCAATTCAAAAAGAGAGAAAAACAGGTGAAAGGAGAGATTAGGGATTTCAAGCGTAGATCTTGAGAATTAAAAGCTTAAGGTTAACTTGCTCTTAAAAATTAGAATTGCCACCTATTTAGAATTCTTAGAGAACTAATTTTAATAGAAAAAATACTTAAGTATTGGAATTTGGATGAGAGTAGAACTGTAGAAGATTATCACGATCAATCTCTCATCATTCTTGCTTATCTATAGAGCACAACATCGGTTAGCTTCACGAAATAAAAGGGGGCGTATTTGTCTATAAACTTTGTTACTTGAAATGAGACTGCTTCCCGACGAATGAGTTCCAAAAGCAAGTATTTCAAGCTTCGTTTGAATGGACTTCTTAGGACTTCCACTTTTGTTAGAATTCCTTTTTTCTTGTTTCACCAAGCATCAACATTTTTTTGAAAAGGACTTTTTGGAATTGGAAGCCCATTTGAAGCCTCTAGGAAGCTCCCCCAAACAGGAACTAATTATTGTGAAATTTCATTGGCTTCAATAATCATATGAATATCAAGTTGATTTAAATTTTTTCTTTATTATCACATTTTTTGCTTATTATATATAGTATTGGTATTTCACACAAGAAAACCAAATAATTTAAACATATTTAATACTGATTAATTTGTATTTGATATAAGATTTTTTAATGATAGAATACATAGAATGGTAAAAATGGCGGTGATGCAAAGTGATCGATGACAGAGTCCTAGACTAAACAAGTTTATTTACATGACCATTAGAATACAAGCAATAAACTTTTATTAAGAAAAAATAAAGAGGGATTAGATTGTCCAAAAAAAAGTTCCCTAAAATATGTCATTGATCACTTTGCATCCTCTAATACCGATTTTGCCCTTATTTAATGAAACTTCTCTAATGCCGATTTTGCGCTTTTTTTTATAAAAGAAAATCAAAATACCAGACATGTTTTTAATCTCTTTTAACCTTTTCTTTGTGTCCAGATTGTCACTTTGGCTTAAATGATGCTCACCACTTCCTACCTATATATTTGTCTTACCACTTCTTACCTATATATTTGTCCCTTAAATGTGAAAGGGTATAGTGGTAATTTTTTTTTTTTTTTTAAAGTAAATATGTATTAGAAAGTGTTCAAGAGGGGAACGCATCCCGAAAACTACACAACGGCCAAAGCCAAAAAGGGGCCGGAAGAGCCCAAGTAACCCAAACAAATCAACTATCTCCTTTATAAAATGTACCTCTCCCCATAACCCAACAAAAAAGGTATAGTTGTAAATTTATTATAATAGTTTCCTTTTCTTTCTACACAAACATGATTAAGTGCCAAGTCCTTTCTTTCCCCCATTAATAACCAATCACAATGAGAGGTTAACACCATCCTTTCCTTTCTTTTAATTTTAATTTAAAAAAAAAAAAAAAAAATTTAATTTAATTTTTATTATTATTATTTTTTTTATAAGTAAAAATATATTAGAGAGCGTTCAAAAGGGGAATGCATCCCGAGAGCTATACAATGGCCAAATCCAAAGAGAAGGTCCTAAGGACTCGAGGAACCCAAAAATTCAATGATTTCCTCTATAAATATACAATTTATCCCCATCACCCAACTAAAAAAGAGAACCAATAATAACATATTTCAAAGCCCAAATGGAAGATTCCTCCCCTTCGAAAGATCTTCTATTCCGCTCTTCCAAATACACCACCAAACGCAAAGAGGGGTCGCCCTCCAAATGTCACGGGCATGGGCTCTAATGCTGCTACCCCTGCACACATCAATCAACTCCTTCACAGATCGAGGCATAATTTGGACGCTGAACAAACCAAAGAAAAGCAACCAACAATCGCGAGCCACAAGGCAATGCAAAAGAAGGTGATCCATGAACTCTTTATCCTTTTTACATAGACAGCACCAATTGACTGTAATTTGTCTTCTCTTTCTAAGATTGTCCATAGTTAAAATCTTGCCCTAAACTGTTGTCCACACAAAAAAAGCCACTGTGAGAGGAGCCTTAGATTGCCACATCGTCTTCTACGGGAAGATTGAACCATGAACCCGGAAAGACGGAGGAACAAGGAATGGACCTCGAATCTCTCCTGAGGAGAAGGCACCCATAATAAGGAATCAGAGCCTATACCATCCACCTTCTGACTATACAAAAGATCTAGCAAGCCAGAAACATTGTCTAACTCCTAGTCTTGAAACGATTTCTCGAAAATGCACGCCCCACGAAAACCTACCTCTATCAAGCCCATAATAGT